TTTTGTCTTCATTATTATTGCTAATATGTGTAAACGAGCACACACAAGTTGACGGACAAGTGCACATACAAACACAGAGAATGCGGAAGAAAATTTATACCAGTGCTAAATGTGTATAAAAAAAATTGAAAAATATATGCAGTAAACTGCTGAGTAAATGAACAGGTCCATCTATGAAACTCTGGAGTTGGGATGCTGAAAGTAACATCAATCAACTTAGTGACAAATTTTACTCACATTAATCATATATATATATATATATATATATATATATATATATATATATAAGTTCCATTAAAGATGATTGATAAGGTCTTGCAATTAAGCTTTTTATTAATTTTTCTTGCGTTTCTCAAAGTATTTTCTTTTCTGGATGCAAAGTGCGCAAAAACTATCCAAAATTTTCTCTTACAAATATAATAAAGAAATACACAATCCTAGTTGATCAGAAAATTAAATTAATTATCTATTAAGAAAATTTAAAACAGCTAATGTTATCATCAAAAATAACAACAGATCTGTAAAATCAAAATTACAGAGAACCAATATTATTTAAGAGTTCAAATGCCTTTGATCAGGAACTATGTAAATAATTATATTGGCCATATTGCTACATGCCTATCTCGATGTCTCACATTACACTTACCTGACGATAGCTGAATTAGGAGACATATGAAATCCTACCAAACTCAATCTACAACATACTAGTAGAAAATACGACAGCCACATCTACATGTAAAAAAGATTAAAAATAATGGAAGCACTAATAATAAAAATGGAAAAGCCAACATTCAATAACATCAAGTATGAACACAGCCACAATGTGCTGACCATGTTTGGAAAATAAAACATACATAAAAAACCCACACATTCAGTTAAAAATAAAAAATTGTTTTTGACAATGGCTAGAAGAAGAATTGAAAATGCTCAGATATGCAGAACTTTTGGGCAGCTTTTACACACTTTATGTCCAGAAAAGAAAACAAAAAAAATTGAATAAAATCTTTATCACAGTACTTTGTCAGTCATCTTTAACAAAACTTAACATGTATGTGTGTATTGGGTGTGTATAGGCAGCAAAAACAAAGGTACATTAAAAGCAGTTTTGTTCCAAAAGATAACCATCAAATTACGTCCATTAAATTTTAAAGTAAATATCTGGAATGGGTGTTTTGATTAGTTTCTGTGCTTTGGTGTAAAGGAACTCTTTACTGAGTAGTTACTAATATATCTGCATTAAACTTAAATCTATATATAACCAATATTGTTTACAAATTCACATACTCTGTTTTTTAGTGAAAAGAAATTTCGAAAAAAGAAATGGTAAGACATTAGCTAGATGAAGTCAACATTGCCATTTGCCTAAGATTACATTCAACATCATAAATATTACTTTTTGTTAATTCGTTCTATGTCCTAATAATAATCTTTACTATTATGATTATGATCACAATTATATGTCAGATGTAAACTTTAGCAACTTAAGCAATGATAAAATCTAGTGAATGAATCTATTTCTAACATCTTTGAAGCTCCCAGTATGTATATCGTCGTCATCATCATAATCATCATCATTGTCATTGTTCTTGTCATCATCATTGTTGTTGCATCATCGTCATCATCATTATTGTCATCATCATCATTGTTATCATCATCATCATCATCATCATCGTCATCATTGTCATCATCATCATCATTGTACTTGCCATCATCATCATTGGTTTCTTTATGAGAATGTATTTCTTTGAACAGATCTAATATTCAACTACAGAACTCAAGCATCTGTCCCAGGGCATTTTTGATGCATTCAGTGTATATAGGGATATTCATTTCTTTTTCTTTTTCTCTGGAGCTACTCTAGAATATTTTAAAATAATTAAATGTTTTCAGATGACATGTCATCATATATTTAACATGCCATTCATATTAATAAGGACACAGGTCTTCATGTTCATTAACCTGGATTGTTCAGTTTGTCTGAACAGCTGTCAAAATTAACATATTTGATATAAACGACTAACTTTCATCAGTTTGTGTGCAACCATCATTTTTTTGCAGCCCAAGGTAAAATTATTTGGATATTTTTATTAGCATATAACTCTTTTACCTTTTTAATGATATTCATTGATCTTTGGGTAAAAATTGCATTTCAAAGATTTTGCTTTCACAAATCAATAACATGGTTCATCTGAAGTGTTGACTTCCCTGAATTCAAAAGTGCACGCCTTATTTCTTTAATCTGCTTTATCATGACATACAAATAACTAAGATATACTTGTCAAAGTGAATAAGATATTTTAAACTCTCTCCTTCTACTCTTCACACACACACACACACACACACACACACACACACACACACACACACTACACACACACACACACACACACACACACACACACACACACACACACACACACACACACACACACACACACACACACACACACACACACACACACACACACACACACACACACACACACACATTGCTATTATTGCAAATGAGTTTTGGGACACTGGTATTATAGAAAAAAGTTAAAATTTCCCTTTCTCTTTCGATGATAGCCTAGGAGGTAGGATCTCTGACTTGTCTTGGGTTCCTAGAACATCTCACGCGCCACACTGAAGAGCTGTGATTCAAAATTTTCTATGGATGACTATATATATATATATTTATATATATATAAATAAAAATGATTTCCAAGGTATTGCAGTTAAGTCTAATTTCTTTTTCTTGTGTTCCTAGAACTTTCTTCTTTTCTGGGCATAAATTGTGTAGAAATTGTCAAATGTTCTGTATATCTAAGTAATTTTGGCTATTCTTTGAGATGTTATCAAGAATGATTTTATTTTTACTTTTAATTGAATATATGGATTATTTTATGTATGTGTCTAGAGTTATAGAAATGTTTATTTGGTTAGCACATTGTCATTCTGTTCAAGAGTTGATATTATGGTGTACTGGCTTTTTCTTTTTTATTAATAATGCTTCCATTATTTTTAGCCTTTTTTTTACATGTGGATAAGGTTATTATATTTGTATTATCAACAATTATGTTGGGAATAAAGTTTGGTACACAATTTACATCCAGAAAAGAAGAAAATTATAAGAACACAAATAAAAATCTTAACCACAGTACCTTGTCAGTTGTTTTTTACTGTAATTTGTATAAAAGAGGAATTGCTGCTCAAATACAGAATTATATATATGTATATATATACATATATATTATATATATATATATGTGTGTGTGTGTGTACACTGATGAGGAAAAATTCTACTATGCTACCTACAAAAAATCTTAGACAATGTGTAACAGTTTTTATTTAGCTGGCAAAGAAATTCCCAGTTGGGCATTACCCCGATTAAATATTACACATTTTCTCTTAACTAATTTAGTTAATTGCTACCCTCAGTTAATCTGCTTGTGGGAATATTTGCTTAAATTGTTTGCTTCTCGGGAAGGAATTAATTCACAGTGTCTTCTCTATGAAGTGCACAAATTTTGTTTTTTGTGTTGCATTTTGACCTTTCTTCAAATAAAAACATAATTCTCCAAATAATGTTGCTTTTGTCTTCAATCTTCCTGATATGAATCAATGGCAAATTTAACAAAACTTCAAAAATATGAAAACTGTTACAATACAATCAAATTAAATTATGAATGATATTAATTAAAACTAAATTCTCCTTGTGTCTTCTAAAGAGGAAAACTGAGAAGTTTTGGAGACTAATCTATTTTCCAAATTTCCAGAGAATGAGATAATTTTTCTAGAAATCTTTTAGCTAAATATTGGAACATTTAGAATAATATAAATATGGGTTTTAATTCAGTGATGCAAAAAGACAAAGAAATTTATACCTATTCAAAGAATATATTAAATGATTATTTTAGAATTAAAATTCAATTCCATTGCTTTACAGTTCCCCAGGAGTTACAGACATACCTCAGATATAATACATGATCAGTTCTAGGCCAATACAATAAAGCAAATATTATAATAAATCAAGTCACACAAATGTTTTGTTTTCTCAGTGTTTATAAAAATTACAATATTGTAATATATTAAGTATTTTAAAAAGAAATATATATATTTTTAATTAAAAAATATTTTGTAACCAAGTCATGACAAAAATGCAAAGTGAACAAATGTAATTGACAAAATGTTACTGATCAATTATTTAATGCACAAGTCTGCACTTTGTAAGAACACTCAATATCTGCAAAGTGTAATAAAACAAAAGGTAATGAGATGGGTGTACTGGGTAATTATAACACAAAATTTGAATATTTCATTACTTAACATAACATTTTATTCCATGTTAATATTTTGTCAATTTCACTTAGGTGAACGGGTGCTTGAAAACATGGCCTGGCACCTTCATCTGAAACATGGTCCTTACATTCCCAACTGTGCCATATGAGAAACTTAACTGCTCTTTGAAGTGGTTGCTTATACTATTATCGCTTTCATGCTTGTCATTCCCATGTTTACAAAATGTGGTTCTAACATTCTCATCTGCAATGTCTAAGAGAATACCCGACTCCCTTCTGGGCTGGTTGTTTATCTAATTACCTCCTTCATGTTTGTCATTCCCATGCTTGCAAAACTGGATGCAGATGAAGGGTTACATGATTTTGCATTCAGTGGCTAGGAGTAACATCAGATCAACTCTGCACCTAGCTTCCTTTGATAATCTGGTGTGATACTGAGTGCAATTCCATTCTAACATAATTATAGAAAAGTACAATTAAATGAAATGCACAGTGCCTGCACACTGTTAAAATATTTTTAAAATTACTGTTGAAGCTATGATGTCCATCATAACCTGTTCTACTATCAACAAAACATCTGGTGTCAAAAATTGCTGATTAAAATATTTCAGCTTTAGAGTTATTCAAAGTCATAGTTGATATAAATAAATCAGTTTATCCTAGCATCCATATTTTGTATTGATTTATCTATGTGAAATTTCCTTCATTTTTCTCTTGTAGACATCTTCCAAGAACACGGCGAAAAGGTTGAGTTGCTGAATGGACATGTCAACCATTACCAGGGTCAGACACAGGGATGCGAATCCTCCACATGTGTTGAGCCAAGGTCTACAAGGGGACCAGATGTTCGCTTTGATATGTAGTGCCATTACCAATTGTTAGTTCAACATTATAAACACTGTTATGCTCTGTCTGCTCTATTGTTTAATAGATAAAGCTGGGCACCTATGATTTATAGGAAAGAATCCCAATATCTCGGCCTTTAAAGTTGATGGACACTAAATTGCCATTCATAAAGTTTATATTTTTAATAATCTTTTGGTTAATTCACAACTAAGATGGAATCAAAGATTGGCTCAAATATGAGTTAATAATTTAACTTATATTAATTTCATTTTGTTATCCAAGATCAAGTTGTTAATGTCTCAGTTTTCTTGGTTCAAATTTTATGATCTCTGTTCTTGGCAAAATGTTTGATTGATATCATATGACAGTAATCATTAAGTTCTTAGACAGAAAGAACAATAAATATTGAAAAATTTTCATTATTCAAATAGAAAAGGAACTTGAAATAATTTTGAAGTTATCTAATGTCTAGAAAATTTAGCATGTCTAAAGGTGCTGGTATCAAGTATCCAGATGGATTCCTGATATCAGAGAACAACTTTATCATCTCAAAGATATTTAATCAAATTTCTGAATATATATTCATGGCATCTAAAGATTTTCTAAAAAGTAAAAAGATTTGAAAAAGAATCCTTTTCACAATATGATATCAATCTCAGATTAACCAGAAACTTGTAAAAATGTTTAATATTATAATCATTTACAGACTGTAAATAAATTTATTATTTATATTGTACAGAATGGAAACCATTGTCAGTTTAGCTAATTTAGTATCCATCAATTGATGCTAGTTGCAAAAAATGTTCTATTGATTTCATTTGCCAAAGAGACATTGCAAAATGACTCCTGTTATTTAAAATGACATTTTCAGTGTATTAATTGCATTTATGATTTTATGATACTCCATTTGCTCCTTGTTTGAAGCTTGTTAAGGTGTGTCAAGCTTGACTTGTGCACTTTTTGCTCTACTTTTTCAAGGTACTTTGCAACTGTCACACAATGATTGTTTTCTCTATTGTGTTCCATTCATAATAATAATGATAATACTAAGACTTTCACAAGAGGATGAGAAAGCAGATGTCAAAATACGGCTGTGTATCTTCCCTGAAGATTTCTGAGCTTTTGGTGGTCTGTTCTCACCCAGAAATGAGACAGGTGAATTTTTTCTTTTTATAAAGACATTTATTGTTGCAAATATCTCATATCAGGCATATAACATATTAGATTTTTAAAAAGTTCCATTGGTATAAACATGGTCCATTCACTTATGAGCCTACACTTAGAACTCTAAGGCTGTCAAGGAACATTCTCTTTATAACCAGTCAGTTTGTGTACTTGTAAAATTTCAGTTATTTAAATGGAGTAAATATCAATATTTTTTAAAGATGTATACATCTTAAATAATTAATAAATTATCTAAGTTTTTCTCAGTGGATTGAACCAGGTTTAATAAATGTGTATATGCTATTGATGTGTGTGTGCTATTAGCCAATCAAAGCATTAATAATTGCTCTCACAAAGTGTTTGTATTTTATTGACTGAATTCATGTATCATAGAAATAAAATTACTAATCGTCATGTTGTGCTATTTCTACCTATAGCAGATTATGAGCTCATGTAGCTGAATATGCTTTGTAAAAACTTTAGTCATTGTGCATTTTTAGACCTATACATTCTCTTGCTGGGGGATGAGTGCTTTTATCAAGATACCTTCTCTAGATAGACTGTTAAGCAAGGATTCTGTGTGGCCATTAGGTGTAAATTTTCTGCTAGCGCCACTATTGACAGCATCTGAACAGTTTCATTTATCTAATTTTACTCACAAAGCTTGGGAAAATCTGTAGGAAGGTTTTGAAGCACCTCTCAAAAATTCCACATGTTGGAATTGTGTCCCAGGCTAATATTATAAAGGAAATCACTAATTTGACAGATTAATGCTAGTGAGAAGGAAACTTTCCTTCACCTAGAAAAGTAAGATTGCTCAGTCTGGCCTATTGATTAAGTCATAGCTGGGATATATACATACATACATACATACACACACACACACACACACACACACACACACATATATATATATATATATATATATATATATATATATATATATATATATAGTCACTGATATCAGCACCAAGTGGTAACATTCTGTTTCACACATATCCACACTTCTTATATTTAAAAAAACACTCTCTATCGCAGATACCGAGTATAATATAGCATAACTTAAAACCATATTTAATTGTACACTCTCATATATATATATATATATATATATATATATATATATAGTTGGATTAAATATGTTAGCTCTGTCACTGATATTGAGTGTTTTCTAATAAGTACCATGCATATATAATATATAAATAATATATAGAATTACACACAAACACATACACACGCACACACACGCACACATATATATGTATACATACATATTATACAGATATATATATATATATATACTTTCATTTATATATATATATATATACTTTCATTTATATATATATATATATATATATATACATTTATACATATATATATATATATATATACATTTATATATATATATATATATATATATATATATAAGAATGCAACTTTTAATTCATTCATTCAGATGAAAAGTAACAGTTATAAATATTTTAAATTTTTGCCTTAATAAGTAAGTCATTCAGCCATTGTGGAATGAAATTCTGTATTTATTGCTGTACCTTCATGACAATTGAATATCTACAAACTTTTAAACTGATAGCAATAAAGGATCTCACTTAAAATAACTTGTAAATTCTAATATTTTGAGAGTATGCTCTATATATTGTCAGAAGTGAATTGTCAGATGTTCATCCTAAAGGGAAACAAAAATCTGTTACTCACATTCTAATTCACAAACCCATCATTCTAGAAAACACTTTTTAGTTTCAATGGCTTTCAATTTAAAATTCATAATAAATAACAACAAATTAACAGACTTATCAAAGATTTACTGATTTAAGTATTTACAAATTAAAAGAGATTTGTGCAGTTTATGAAGAATAATTTCTCTTAATGTATATATATTTCTTAGTTTATGTATATATTCTAAGCTTATGCTTATTACCAGTGTCATAAAAGTCTATTTAACTTTTTTAATTAGTGTAAGTACACACCTGTTTATTGCTTGAAGGGTGGCATAGAAAAAGGAAGCAGGGTTAGTATATTGAACTAAGGAAAATAATGCTGCTTACTAGAGAGTTCCTATCAATGGAGATTACTACGTAATATAACATAACTTGTAGCTGGGTGTGAGATAGAAGAAATGCATTCATACCTTTCCCATGGCTTTATGTGTAAAAGTGAATGTAAGAAACTCAACTGGAATCTGAACTCACTTCATCAATTCCTCATTCCCAGATGCTAACCATTTCACCAGCTGCACCTCCATATGGATATAATTATATATACATAATTTTTTATGAGTAAATTGTTTATAATTAACTTTACTCAAATTTGACAGTCTTAAATAATTCTACTATTGATGTGAGTGTGGCCAGGTCCAGTTTATGACTTTTTGGACCCCTAGACTAATGAAATTATGGAGCCCTCTTCAGATGGAGCCACTCTCTAAGTTGCTCACACCCATCTTGAATTTTTACTTGTGATATATATTAGTGACATTTACATCGCTTGAAGTAAACTTATTACAAATTCTTTGAATAAACTAGAATAGTTATCTTTTGTTTGCCAATAAAAATATTCTTTTAGCAATACAACTATTTTACTATTTATTGTAGCATATTTCAACACAACTGTAGTAAAAATATTTTTTTTTTCATAACAAGCATTATAACAATAGAACAATGAAAATAAATATAAGTTTGTCATATTGATATCATTTCAGTTTATAAAACTATTTAGAAGTTATAGAATCTAGAAAATTGAAATCATTGCTTTATAAAAATTTTAGATTTAAACATTCTGAACTAAAATCAAACATGCTATCTACTGGAAACACAATGACACACACTTAAACATTCTTTTTCTTGCTTTGCTTCCTGCAAAGTTAAAAGTTAAATAAATATGAGTTTGTCATATTGTTATCATTTCAGTTTATGAAACTATTTAGAAGTTATAACATCTAGAAAATTAAAATCATTACTTTCTAAAAGCTTTTGGGGCCCTAAACTGCCTCCTATACTAGCCTAAAGGATAATCCAGCTCTGAGTTTGGAGTAAGCAATGCAAACAAATAAAAATAAGAAAAACATAAAATTAAACAACATGAGTTAGTAAATATATTATTTTATACTGTATTATAAATCCATACTTAGTCACATTGAAATATATTTCTTTTCTATTTATTGGACCCAAGCATAAACAGATTTAAGCCATTATTTAAGTAACTTTAGTATTAATTCTGGAGTAAAAATTAAACAGCTAATGTATATAAAACAACTGCCTAAATTATGACATTTAACAAAAATATAGGGTAGAAAATAATTGTCTTTGAATTTTATCCCAAAAAGTATGGAATACTGATTAATTATTTATATATTTAGAGAAAATATAATATATAATAACTTATGTCTACAATAATCTCCAATTTTTCAAAAAGAAAGAATAGATTTACAAAACCAAAATTAGTGGAATAATTAATTAATGTTCATCAAAGCACCAATAAAAACTGACTTCATATTTTATTTCATTTTGTTCTTCATTTATTCTCTTAAAGTTATTTTTATTTCATTTGTCTATTTAATGTAACATTGATGAAAATGAAGTACACATTCTTTTATTGATAATTTTCTTTGTTAAATTTACTTAGGAGCCATTTATGCAGTACAGCTTCAATGTTGTTTTATTTAATGACTGGAAGACTTTCTCAGGGAAATTTAATGACTGATTTACTTATTGGTGTTTAATTTTGAACATAATTTAGAGAACTCTTATAGATAGAACGATTGAATAAATTAAAGCTTCAAAATTTACAGAAAGTACGCATTGACATTAGCAGGGCCTGATTAATTTAGTCCAGGGCC